ATGCTGATACAAATCGCTAATATTTCAAGGTTATGGTGTTGCCAGATGTCCAACCTTACGATATGACGTTTTACATCTGACAATTTCAACCATAACTTACTGGTAGGGCCATCTTTTATCAAACGGCGGAGACTTATTTGTACTCCCAATATATATATATATATAGTAAAGCACGCTTTGAGAATATAGTTACATGTATCTATATTTTCCAAATATTCCAATTGTATTGACTATAGAAAATAGTTAATTTCTCTTACTATTCAATATTTGCAACCTTACTATATTTTTTATTTCAAATAATTATAATTCTTGATAAAAGTTTTACATGGGTCAGTTATATTATGCTTATATTGTAAATAATATTACAAACATTATGCTGAAATTTGCTACAAAAATAATATTCCTAACTATAATCTTCTTACTATGCCATTATAGTTCCAAGTATCATACATTTTTCCCTCAGTGTATGTAATGTACCCAAAACAATATAATCTCATCCTTAGGAACTCTCTTTCCTTTTATGTTATGGCCTCAAAGAAGACTATTCTAAAATCAAAAGGGACATATTCTAATCCAAAAAAGAACTCCAGCTGCGAGGTACTATTTCCTACAGTGTGTCACATTCTATTCTCTAAAACTCTTGGAGCAGAATCTCACTCAAAACAAGTCAAGTAATATTTATCTTCTAATAAAAGGGAATAATATCTTCCTCTTGGTTTTAGAAAAATTTCCTTGAGATCGTGTCTCGAATCAGAATTCTCACCCTACTTTAGATCTTACTATTTCATTTAACGCCTGCTTTGATACTTTATCAACCTCTGTTGATTCTATTAAACCCACTAACTTCGCCGAGAGGTCCTCTTTAGAAGCTAGAAGTGGCATTTTGTATGTCTTCTGTCATTTAAAGACGCTGAATAAGAGTTAAGTTTCTATGTGTATTACACTGATCTTTCAAAATATGTTCAGAAAGAAAGTTCAGGCTCAAATCAGGGCTAAAATTTCGACTTGGAGTAGTACAAGAGAATTCCGTTGAGAATAAAATGGTATTCTTTTGTGAATAACATAATAACGATCTCGCGAACGCGAGATTGTTTTTATGAATATTTTCCAGATTATATTTTATCAGGGTTCGTCCCTGTGAAATCAGAATCATTGAAAATCCGGCGAGAATATCCCGTGCTCTTGAGACCTTGATTAACGATTAACAATTTATCACGTGGGACACGTGACGATTAATTAGCATAAAGACTGTTAAAGTCTGGCGATTCCCTGTAGCAAATGAACAACTGCTGCCACATTGTGCACTCACGCGAATAGATAGATTAGGGTGAAAGTGACTGATTAGGATCGTCTTTCGTCGACTGTTTCGCAAATGCGCCGACCGAGTTCTCGAAAAGGCACGGACGGAACGACGGAGAAAAGGATTTCCTCACCTGGCGGCTGTCGCGATTTTCAGGTAGCTTTGTGAAATTCATCATGCACGTCCAGATACTTTTGGCGTTAAAAAGCAAGATGAAAGAGAAGTTTGGCAAGACCGGTTTGCACGGCGCAAAGAGAAATTTCGCAACTCGGTGCGAAATGTTGCTCTTCCGAGATTAAACGCTGTTCTTATATTCGCCACTCTTGACAGTCGCTTCGTGCTTAGTCATGCATTTTAGAGATGAAATATTAATTCTCGCGGCGAACTTTTGGATCCGACTTTCGACGCACGACTTCTCGTGACGACTCGACGCGCGTTTATCAACGCAAGATAGAGCGTCGGCGTCTCGCGGCATGTGCATAAAGTATAATGTAAACATATTCCCATTTTTTATCTCACTTAAAGAGGCACGCTTAGATAAGCATGCACATCGGTAGCAAGGAGTGCTAGAAGATTTTGCAGAGATGTTCAACGAGAGGAAACGGTTGAGAGATCGAGTAACAATATGCAGAAAAATGCATGCTGCGTTCAAGTAAATATTATTTGTTCTGCTTGCGAAAATACATCTTATATGATCCAAGACAAAATCTATGTTCTTATTAATAAAAAATAATGTTTATTATAAGCACAAATCATAATGTTCATGAAAAACACAAAGTATTAGATTGAGAATGTAGTGTTTTTAAATGTATGTTATATGTCTCATGTTACATGCTTACTTGAAACTAAACTTAAATTAACAATACTGAAATTAATAATCATTATTTCACTGAAATTAATAATCATTATATAAGCCATGTTATATAATTTTGTTGGGAGACAATTTTAAAGTCTTCAATTTCACTAATATTATAATTTTATTTAAATATTATAACAGTCTCTCAAAAGAAGCGCAATACGGTTATTTTTAATAATCATTTCTTCCAACATTTCAAAACATGATTACCACCCAATATTTTGTGCTTTTCATTAAATGAGAATTATTTATGAATAATAAGGACATAAGAGACCGGTTGTCTTTGTTAAATCATACAAGACATATTCTTGGAAAAGTAATTTATCTTCGTTCAACATAATGCAATCTCATTTGAAGACCAACACGTCAATAATAAAGATATTTTCCAAACAAGAACGTCCTCTTTTTCCATGTGTGAACGTAAACACATGAGTATGTCTAGTGGCAGTAGGCGACGATAAAACGACGATGGCCGGCTTTGCTTTCCATTATTCCCGATGCCCGTTAACGCGACTTTCTCCGTTTGCGCACCGGCGCCGTAAATCGGCTCTCGTGAATGATAGGCGCGCGTGTCGAATGGACATCTATGAACGCGGCATGACTAACTTTACAGAGAAAATTGCCTGAAACCAACATAATTTATCTTCGGAATAATACAGCTGAGCGTAACAAGCGTAGAGTTTTGTGCGAACGCGAAAAAAGAAAAAAGATTGTGTTTAGAAAGTTCGCGAACGCGCGTGTCGTATTTTGCGCGTGAAATGAACTACATTATAAAGTCTAAATAACCAACTGCCCTCGCTCCCTCCCCTCCCGCGATTGCTTTGCGAACACCTTTTCGAAAATCGAGATCTCCTCTCGAAGGAAGAAAAAGAGAAAATGCATGCGCATGAAATTAACTTGGCGATTTCGCGGAGAGCGAATGTCTCGCTACGAATGTGAAGAATGTTCAACATTCGTGCATTATTCACGCGCTGTGCATCGCTAATTTGTAGAACGATTTCACGGTGCGAGTGAGCGCGGGAGATAAATCGCGGGCTAAACCAACACGGAAGAAGAAGTCTGTCCGCACTGAGGAAAGGATTTCGTTATAGAGACGAGAGAGAGGGAGAGAGAGAGAACACCAGAGCAAAATTTGGTTGAAATGACATCCAACCAAATGTTTGACAATCGCGACCAAAAAATTTAATTGTGCGCTTATGTGTGCTTTGCTTCCTCACCAATGTCTTACTTAACACAAGTAAAAAGCGTGATAATGCCAACGCGAAATCGTATGTACCAAATATTTCAATTCCAAATACAAAAATAAAGAATCAAAATAAGATTAAAATAAAATTCCGGTTGAGATAATTCTGTTCACAAGAGTCAACGCGATGTCTGGTTGACTCGAGCCGGACTTCCGGCTGAACTTGGACCGCATTAATTCAACCGGATGCTTTTTGTTCCTCCGTGCACGCTGAAGGTGCGAAAAATGTGCCAAAAGCTGTTCGCGTTCGCGTCGTGCAATTGAAACGTGCGCGCGGCAAAATCGCGCCCGCAATCGCGTGAACGCGGCGAGCGAACGATGATATCGCTTTTCTCAAGCGGCAGCGGAACAGACGAGGAGAGCCGCCCATTTCGCGTGATAATCCGGTTCCGTGCTCTAAAAAATACAATATCGAGGTCGGCCCGACGCGACAGCCGCCGAAAACCTTTGTTCTCTTCGTGCGCGCGTCGCAAGAGATCGCAGACGGACATGCATGCGCCTGCAATCGACCCGACTGGCCTTGCGTTATGTTCCTTGTCAGGTAATAATTGCATAAATGTGAGCGTGTCGTATGCATATTTAATTGCGGGGAACAGCCAGGTCCGGCAACCACATACGGAGTGTCTCGGAAATCGCGTACTTTCTCCGACGCCCAGACATCGTCTCGAGAGAACCGAATCGATCGATCTCCCATACGTTCATTAGATCGAGACGGAAGTCGCCATTGGGTCGACGCGGTTCTTTCGCAATAAACGTAATCGGTATGTGCGTGTATGATAAAGCTTCAGATATAAGCAGATACCAATTACGAATAACCAGCCATTGTTCTCGAGTAACTCTCGGGGACGACTTTCAATCAAATACTCCATCTTATTCGAGCTGTAAGACTCGTTTATTCATAGTCGCTGTTTAAAATTTGTCCCACGCGCAACGACGCCTCGTGAAACGCACGTGATAACTGATTTCGAATCAGTTCTCCATTTCAACAATATATGCGACATTTGCAGGTTTAATCGCGATCTAGCTGAAAAACTTGCATCTAACTCTAAGGCGCTCCGTCTCAACGGTTATTACTTGAAACTCTGTGAAATGCGTGTATTTGAATTCAAAGTTAGACGACAGTTTTCCAGTTGAATCGTAATCCGTGATATAAGTGTCACAATGTCTCTCTCATGTTATTACGTCATGTATATGGTAAGTATCACTTGGAAAGGAATTTAGATCTATCTCTGTGAATCTAAGTACCTCGCACGAGACAAGTTTCAAGTGACGACTACCAATACGAATCTTGGAGGAATCTTCAACTTGGAATTTGATGTTTCAATTTGTACTTTCTGCCACAAATATTCAATGCCAAATATTCAAACACCGTGAACAGAGAAAGAAAGAGAGAGAGAGAGAGAGAGAGAGAGAGAGATGTTCAATCGAAATTTTCGTACAATTCCTCGCTCACTCTGTAAACGGAACAAGCCTTCGATCGCGTTGACCATATAAAATCGTTCTGGTTCCCTTCTTCGCGCGCACGAGAGAGAGAGAGAAAGAACAGGTAAAAGTCTACCCGGATCCTGATCCTCGACACCCGCGTGCACACCGATATATACCTTCTCGCATTTGGCGTCTCTTTATAGGCTGCGGCGCACCGGTGCGCCTTCTCCTCGCGTAGGTGTGAACCGGCACGATGAGTCGCGGCCTCGGAATGAGGAAGCCCCCCTGAGCGTTGCCGGTCGTCGGCTGGTTCACGTCGGAGCAGTCGCTGTCGGTGGTGCCGGTGCTGCTAGATCCCCTGGAACGCGCGTTCTCTCTCGTCGCGGACGGCCCGGTCGGATGTTCCTCCAGTTCCGTCACGAGCTGCGACACCATGTCCGCGTATGGTCGCCGGTAGGCCTCGTCCTCCTGTCGCCTCGAGGAGACGACTTTGACTCCGTTGCTACCGTTATTGTTGTGGCTGGCCCAATTGACGCCACACTCTCGCCAGCTGGCTTCGTAGAGCAACTCCATAGCTCTGCCGCGCGTCGCATCCGGGTCTAAGAGGAGTTCCGGGTCCTCCAAGACCGCCCGACCAGGATAACTTCGGACCTTCATGACCTCGAATTGGAGTTTCGCGGCTTGGGCGAGTCGGGCAAGTAAGAAATAGAGAGACAGAGAGAGATCGACCCCGCTTAGCTCGTCAACTCGAGACTTTCGCTCGTGACTTTTATCCCGGTCCTCGAGCTACTGAGCGCGCGCGCAAAGGTCAAAGGCCGATCGTCGATCGCCGTGCACGGCGACAATGTCGACGTAGCTTTCATCCGGTGCGACAACGGTCTGACCGTGTTTCCATGCAGTCGGCCGCATTTTCTTCGACTCGCTCGTCCCCTAATCCTGCTGTTTGCGAACGTTAGAGCGGCCCACAGGGTTGTGATGTTGTCGGTGAAGACTTGCGGATGACACTTGGTCGGTGTGGCAACACAAAGCTCTAGTCGAGGCCAGAGGCATCGTCGTGGACGCTGAAATTGGCGCCGCTCCAAAAGGAAGATCGACTACCTCTCTGCGCGTCGGAACCCACTTGTCTTCGATTACCATCGAGCCCAAGAGCAGGGTCTCTCGTCTTCGCGGCGTGTTCCTCCGGAATCGTGCGTCTCCCAGGGAGAAAAAGGATGAAAACGACGACGACTCCTGTGGCGACACTGAGGAACCGAATCGACCGTTTCCGTCCGTTTGACTTGCGGATCGAACGCGTTCTCACAGCAGTTCATTCGCAGCTTCCGTTGTCCGGTGGCAGCCGCCGATAAGCCGGCACGTCGTGAAACGGCGCCGCGCGGGAAACCGTGCCATCGCCAATCAGCCGGTTGTCGATTGTCTCGAGGTCCCGTGCGTGAGTGAGAGAGGGAGAGAACCTCTTGGCGAATCGTTCGCAAGGATGCACTTCCGTCGTTTGCCCTTTCCGTTCCTCGAGATCGGCGGCGAAGCGTGCGAACGGAAACCTTCAGTGACGGACGATGATGAGACGAAAAAGTATGTTGGGATCCTTCAAGTCGGTCGAGATTCCCGATGAGTCCTGGCTGCCTTCGCGAAAAAACTCTCTCTCTTTCTCCCTCTCTTTCTCGTGGAAGAAAGAACGAGCGGAGAGTCGACCGATCGATCGCAACTCGCGTAGGCGTCGTCGTCGTCGTCGTCGCGGATGTGCCTTCCCGCCGCGATCCTGAAGAAGGTCCTGTCGAAGGAGGACACCGCGGTCACGAGCCTCCGCGTCGCGACTGACGCTCACTGACAGCGTTCACGACTGGTGAAAAGTATGCCCGTGAGCGGCGAACAGCACCACGAGAAACTCCCTTCCCTCGACGAGACGCGGGAGTCCCCACCATGGGTCGGTCGCGACTCGTGAGAGAAAGGACAGCGGTTCTCAATTCGCAATTCTCGCCCCCGCATCGCGCTCACCCACGTACACGGTCGAGGAGACAACGGCGTCTTTGCCCTCTGCCCCTCCCCCTTCCCTTCCCGCCCCTCCTCCGCGTCGGCCACGAGAGCCGCGACACCGAATTTACAACGAGATCCTGTTAACTGCTTTGGCGCGAAGAGAGGTGTGAGAGGAAGTCGAGGAAGATGAAGACCTTTCACCGCGGTAGAGAAAGATAATATTGATTTAAGAGAATCTCCCTGTCTAGAGGCGAGCGACACAAAAATCGAAATCGCGCTTCACGCAGATGTGATAAAGACATGCTCTTTCCGTGTTTTTTCGGAGAGTCATAAAATACTCGGTACTCTTCATCAGTGGCAGAAACCGATCTGTCGCATTCTTTTCGAACGCAAATCTCGCCTCTAGGCTGAAAGAAGAAATATTTAAAAATAAAATATTCGGCAGATATTAAGAACAGTTCAATTCTTCATTAGTTATCCAAATTCTTCTTTTCAGATAAAATAAATAACTGTTTTCGTGAAAAACAGGTTTTGAGAGATTTATTATTAAATTATTTGAAAAAAATATTTTACGTATAAGTAAATATATTAGAGAAAAGTACCCGCAGAATAAATGTGTTTTATTTCTTAGATATCCTTTCTATCAGTGTAGGCGCTTAAATACGCGTGTGTCAATTTAACCAATGCGCGCGCGCGCGCGCGCGCGCGCGTGTGAGTGTGTGTGTGTGTGTATGTGATTTAAGCAAAGTGTGCTGACTGAATTAACCAACTACATGGTTAATGAGTCCTTTTATGCTTCTCTCAATATAATGATAGATACCAAGAAAATATGCTTATCTCTTGATTCATTCGCAATGATAAGTAACGCCAACGTGCACGATGCATATATAATGCATTGTGCATACAAAGCAGCGCACACCAGGGAAGAACGTGTACGCCGTCGTGTTCGGTTACGTGGCTGGGACGACACGGATGAGCGATAACGCTAATAATCGAATCGGCCGGGTAGAAGCGACGAGCATCGTATTTTTCCGTGAAAGTAAAACCCCGACATGCCGTTCATTACGAAATAACATCGGCGCGATGCTTTGTCTGGCGGAAATCGAGTTCCGCGGGGGGAAGGAGATCCTCGTATTGGAGCAGCCCGCGTAACGGCGTTTACGTAAATTCGATTCCAGCGTAACGACGCAGCACAAAGACGTAAACAAAGCAGAGCGCACTGATCTCTGTGCTCTCGCGAGTCTCCACTCCCCGGAATAATTGTACGCATTATCACTTATGTAAGAAAAATATGTGAGTATTTATATAGACGCGTTATCTTCGCGCGCGCGCGTGCTGTTAACTGCTTCAGAATTTCATCTAAGCCCGTCGTTAGCCCGTCATTTTGTCTAATGAGGAGGCAATCAGGAAGTAATCAGGAAGTAATCTTCCGCGATTGGATCAGATAAATCACGAATGTATCGAAAAAGATATAAAATACGAATATTTAAACACGTAGGAGACTTTTTTCCTTTTTTATTTTCACGTCGCGTTGTTTCATTCGTCGTTTATTTTCAGACCGACTCACGATGCTCTTTGCGAACATCTCTCCGGCAAAATAGTCTCACAAAATACATTTGCTCACCCTCCATAACGAAGACCGTAGACCCGACATCGCCCTCCTTTATGATTACCGAGCCAGCCGGAAACGTGACGGGGTGCATGCAATCGACGATCTCTCGGATTTGCGTGCGTTCCAGATTTTTCATGAAGTCATTGTCCAATATGGCGGCCTTGATCAATTCACGGGACCTTGAAACAAAAGAAGAGTCCCGTTAAATCTCCCTTTCTCCTCTCTGTGTGCTAAAGAAGTGGTATTTTTTACACAGAAAATAATTAATAAGTATGACAGGTACAATATGCGGAACTGAGAAAGGAACGCGTCCAGGTGAAAAAAAAATCTCGCACGGTTACGACATATTGCGTAAAATAATAATGCGCTTTCGCAAAAATCGTATTCTTCGTTAAAATCTGCTTTTTTCTCTTTCATAGAGAGTACCACATATGTTGAAATTAATATCATCTCGCACGCGTTGATAATTAAGTTCCGCTTATAGCCATGAAATCATTCAGGCGCAGTTACCGCTTCCACCAAGAGAGAAAGAGAAAGAAGCACCTTAGTTCCTGTAATATTATCGACCGCACCAACATCATACGATTTAAGTCCAATTACTGATTACATATTGCTGATGTCGTGCTCGAGTTGCACACGTCAGATGAGACAGCCATTTTATTTGTAGCGCGTGACGACGAGTTTTAGAACTTTCGATTTATTTCTTATCATTTCCACGATGCTTCGGTCAGTTTTATACTGAAATGCTAAACTAGCTAGAATACAGGATGTACTTTGAATAAATATGATGCTTGCGGTGGACTTGCAGATAAATATAAATTTACAAGATATTCGAGACAAGTGACATTTACTTGAATGCAGTATGTATCTTTCTGCGTGCTAAGGGAACAACTAAATTGAAATCTATCGCTCCGATTGACACGTACAACAAAGAAAATAAACAAGGGTTAAAAATAATGGAACTAATAAATAATTGAAAGTAAATGTAAACGATTAAAGATGGGACGAAGAAAATTCTCGTCGGGGGAGTTCGGTGAGAAGAGAGAGAGAGAGAGAGAGAGAGAGAGAGAGAGAGAGAGAGAGAGGAGAGAGAGGGAGGGGGAGAGAGAGAGAGAGAGAGAGAGAGAGAAAGACGAGAATCGAACACCAAAGAAAACGGACAACGAAAAGCCACGTGAAGACATCCAAGGCACATCATCACCAGCCATCTCTACCTTTGCGTCTTGGTAAACTTCACCACCGGCTTTGCGTCGCTTCGCAGGGGTAGCGGTTCCGCCGATATCGCCTGCCGTTTCGATCTCTGATTGGCGCCGACGTTGTCGGACGCCAAGCTCCGATCGACGATCTGCCGGAACCTGTCGACCTCCTTCTGCAGGTGGCGGATCAGGGCGTCGCGCTCCTCGAGCGCCCGTTCGAGCACCTCGACGGTCTCGTCGCGACGTCGCAACGCCTCCGTCCGCTCGTACAGTAATCTCTTGAGGTCGCGGATCGAATCCATCCTCCTTGTTCTCGCCGCGCGAATTTCGTGAGACACTCCTCAGCGACCCTGCGGGCCGTGCACCGTGAGGACGACGAGGACGAGCACGACGGCGACGATGATGTCACGCTGCACTTTCGTTTCCCAGTGGAGCCATCGTCGAATAGCAGCACTGTCAGTCAGTATTAATCATACTCGCGTGAGCACTCGGCCTCGTCAAGAGCATAATAATTTCTCCGCTTATCCCCCCGCACGTCGTCGCGTGCATATGTCGCGTTAACGATTCCGAGTTATATTAACAGGCGGATAGTTGATCCTGAAGTAGAGACGAACCGAGCTCGATCTCATCTGGACATCGGAATCTCGTCGCATCGTTAAATCCGTCGGACCGCGTGCTGATGAACCCAGATAACGCGCAGAGCACTCGAGATATGTAAGTTTTCTCATAGAACTTCCTAATGCGACGGTCGAAACTACCAAACACTGCGCAACAAAAATCAGCGCGACGTTTGACGCAGTTTGCAACGTCGCGGGTATTCCTGGCCAAGGAAGATGACGCGCGAAATTTTAGCCTCTGTCGGACGTCGTCGGGGACGATTCCGAAAGCTGGAAGATATATTTACTTCCTCACGGTAATGAGCCAAAGTTAGAAGCGCCGATTACATAAGGAGCCAGACACGAATGGGCTTTCCCGGAGGAAGTGACAAGAAGCGCGCCTTTCGGGAAAAACAGCCTCGAAATACAGCTGTTGATCCAGGGAGATACGGGATCCTGCTTTTCTCGTACACTGAGAAAGAAATTTTTGATATTTGTAACTGTAATCGCGCAGAGAAGTAATTACTATAAATTATGTGGCAAAGAAAACCATTTTCTCTTCTTAAATTCTAAATGATAATAACTTTATGTGTATGTTAATATTTTCGTTGGAACAACCAAAAAATATTATAATTTTAATCGGACCAACCATTTTTTTTCTCGCAATGCAACGCGTAATCGCGTATGAGAGACACTCGCAGGATCTATCACCTGTTCGTGACGGACGGTTGTCTGCTGAAACAACGATCGCGACGGTTCGTGCGTCTAGTAGCCGTATCACACTAGCGACTCGCGACTGTGGCTGCGATTATGTCTCTTGACCAATGAGAAAAACGGTAGTAGGTAGCAGCTTCTTTCTGACTGGTCAAGAGACATAATCGTAGCCGCAACCGCAGTCGCGAGTCGCTAGTGCTATAACGAGGCTATAACAAGAGACTATTAACGGCTTGCAAAAAACTTGCACGTGGGTAATTATTTGACGATACTTTGTTGAGAATGCGACGCTATATTTAGCGTCGCGTGTTCACACTATCATGCTGATTGAGAAGAAATATTATTGTACTCGTCGCTTTTTGCGTGTTTCTTTCTCAGAGAAGCGCGACGATCTAACACAACTGAAGTGAAAATGTATTCAAACCGAAGATCGATCGAATATCGATGATTATATCGGCGAATTTTTGAGATTGAAATATTTTGTACATCTAAAAAGATATAATCTCATTCTTAGCGGAGATATCCTCTTATATATAGCTTCAAAAGGATTCCTCTAAAATCAAAAGGAAAACGTTCTAACACATAAAACACGAATTCTAGTTGCAAAGTCCTATTTTCTGTAAACTTGTGCTCTAAGTGAAAATTCTCATTGAGAAAATATCCTCCTTCTACTGAAGTGAACTATTAATCGGATATCTACTAGATATCATCCTGACTTTTTTTTTTTGGAACAAGAAGAGCATGTTTATGCT